CCTCCAGACTCCGTGGAATCTTATTACAAGGTTCGCGATTTGCCTGGACTATGGATCCTCGATTTTTCTTTCCCGCAGGATATATCGTTCGTTCCAGTTGGGAGCAGGGTGGGGGGGGGGCTCCCCCAAGGCATGGATGAGTACCCTCGAGCGAGCAAGCGTTTCTCCCGAAGGTCTCGCAGCCGGCTCCCCGGAACAACGGCTTCCTTTGATTTTCCGCAACGCGTGTTCCTCATTACGCTCGCTACGTGCATGACGCCAAGATGAAAGAGCGTATCATTTCCTGTCTGATCGCTTTCTCAAACCAGAAACCGAGGAAATACGACAACAGAGTCGTCGATCACTTGTGGGGTTTCTACAAATCATGAGCGGAGGGTTGGGATTCGGAGAGGCATCGTCTTCTTCTCGAGAGAACTTCTCGGTGTTTCGACCGAGCCCGCTCGCCCGAACTTGGAACTTGTCGAATGGGCTCTTGAACGGAATTCAGCTCCGACTCATCTGGGAGAATCGGGACAGAAGAACCGCAGCGCTCGGGTCAAAATCTGGGTGCTCGAACCCCATTCCGATTCGGGTCGCTCGGAATGTTCTTGTCGCGGGAGTACCTCGAGGAACCGCCGTCCAAAGACAAAACTAATTCATCGGTTGTGCGAAGCTCCCGGGTGATCTCCGCCGGTATTCAACAGAGCTGCGATCGTTTTCTGAATGATCCTCTCGGAGCGATCATCGACACTCATTAACGGAAGCGATAGAACATATAATCCACTTTGGGAGATCCGTTGAGGAAACTAATCGCGACTCCCGTTTCAATGAGCAGTTCAGAGTTTCTCCGATTTCACGTCTTCGTCGACTCAACTTCTTCGCTGCACTCTACATGTGGGCTGTGGGTCGATGCGGCGATCGATGTCCTATATCCGAAAGGAACAGCGCTCGCGAGCGCTTCCAGGTTAGCTTAGCCTCTCGAATGGGTCGATGAGTGAACATGAGACCATTGCAATGGAACGGTAGATGAGGGATAGCAAATTCCCGCGAGAGAAGTTTCCAAGATACAGTCCACCGAGGGCGATCTGAGAAATCAAAGTGTCATTCATGAAGAACTCATTTGCGCGGGACTCTCGCCCCCCAGCGACCCGGGACCGAGCTCGACGGTTCAATTTATCACGAGATGCTTCTCAAAACTCTCGCGCCGCAAGGCCGCGAATTTCAGAGGCGTTCTACTGTTTGCTTGCGTGCCATGATTTCTGGAATGGAGCCACCTCTCGCAATGAATGGTTTAGCTGTTAAAGCCCGCGGAGCGTCCAGGAAGTCTTCGGAGGTATGTATCTCGGAGAGTTTCTTCTTCAGAGGACGGTGCAGGTATAGCGCCAACACGAAATCCTAGATCCGATCGCCGATTCGACTTCGCTGCGCAGAACCGCGGCGGCTCAGCGTGATCCCCCGGCCGTGATTCCCCATTCACTGTCGATGCTTTCGTTGTTCAGAGCCCCGTCGGGCATTCTGAGTACTAGGCGAATGCGACCAGAATGGTTTGGTCACTTCAACCACAAAGAGACAGCCTGCAAAGACCTGCGCCAGCATTTATTTCACTCTCTCGAGTAGTAACATCACCACAAAACAACAAAAGTATCTCGAGAGTCCTTCGGGATGCCGAATTCGTTGTTTTTCGCCTATCAGAGAATATTTCCATTTTTTTCTCTTCAACGTGATGCAGGGTAAAGAAACCGTTCTGCGTACGGTGAGTTTCACGAGTTGTTTCCCGGATTCCGGCGAAGTCCAGGAAAATACGAGCAACGAGAAGTCCCAGAGAATCTCGGGCCAGTCATCGCCGGAACCGGGACGCCCGAGGGTTCTCCATGTCTATCGCTAGCTGTGGAGAACGGACTCTTTCCTCAAATCCTCGAAAAGAGCAGGATCTTCTGATGCTGATACCGGAATCAGAGTGCGGGCTTTCAGAACGAATTGACTCGAGTTCTGATAAATCCGGCGCGCCGGAGAAGTCCGCTCGCGAGGGATCTGAACGGGGCCGGAGACTTCTCGTAAACGCATCGATAATCGAGGGCCCTCGTTTCCCGTGGTTCATAGGACCAAGGACAAAACAGAAACCTCCGTCATCGTCAGCTACATCCACTTTGCAGATCCATGCCTTCCTCCAAGGAGAGTCTCATCGGTCTTGGTGACTCGTTCGTGCGGCGGATCGGGCGCTGATCGTTCGCGGACGGTCGGCGCTTACCTCGAATCGAATTGATTTATTGATCGTAGGTGGCATTTCGGCTCTCGCCCATTCGAGTCGGACCCTCACAATACCGAGACGTACGTCTATTTCAGGCTTGCCGAGCAGGGTAGGCGACCGACGACGAGACTGATAGTCGACTTGCCATTTTCGTCGTGAGAGACACCTGTATACTTTACCGGGAATCATTTTGCGGCGTTTGGCAGCAAACCACATCTGGGTCCCCATCTCGCTGTGGCGGGGATTTCTCGATGACAGGTTGTGCTCCGAGCGAATTCTCAGAGCACGGCGATGGTCAACGATGTCGCCGCTCCAAACGAAATACGAAGCTGGTATCCCCGTCGCCCACTCCATGCGAAAGAATGTCGAAAAACTCTAAAAGAGGTGGCAATACGCTGGATAACCAAATGGGCAGCAAGACGCTCAGACCAGAGATGATTCTGCGATCGCGCGGACCAGCGATCCGGTCACCTCAGGCTCAGACGAACGAGTGGAATTCATAGGTATTTCATGTATCTGAGCGAAAGCTTCTTCGAATACCCGCCAAGCGCCACCCCTTCGAATTCCGCGTTGCCTCTAAACGGCGCTCCCACAAATACGCTCCTCACCATAATAACTGGGCTAAACATCGATGTCGAAATCATTGAATACTTCTAGCGCGAGCCTCGGGGCAGACTTCTGATCTCTCCCGAGAGCATTCATCATCGAGTCAATCGATGGGGACATCGCCGACGCTCTCCAAGAATAAATTCCAGGTCGTCGCATGGAGGATCGTATTCATTCAATCTTGCGAGTCACAGTTGTGACGAGTCACCTAGACTTCCGCTGAAGGTCATAAAGGACTTCGAACGTGTGAAAAGCTTGCCTCGTTCCGAAGTATAAAACGGAAGAGAGCGCAAATCCATGAGGTGCTCATTCTGGGCCTCTTCGGAGCATTTGCCATTCATCTTCGCTAAGCTCTTACCAGCCGAGCTAAAACCGATCCGAAGATTTGGCAGCCGTGCTACCAGAGGGCGATATCATCGGGGGACGTTCCGAGCGCCCGGAGGTCCATCTGCGCCGTCGGAATATCAGATGAATTCTGTTTCAGGAATAGCTCTTCGCCCTCCCGGACGTGCACCCGAGCCCCTTCCGAAAATTCCGTCAAGTGCGATCTCGAAGAATTCTCGCTCGTTTCTCTTCTGAGGCGAGCTGTACACGTGTACCGCGTCCTCTTCTTCTTCTCAGAGGTGTTGAGATGCTATCGAGAATCAAGCTCTTCGAACGAATCCCTGGTGGTCGTCACCGAGTCGTACGAACATCGATTCTGCAACGGACGCTTGTTCTTTCAGAGGAGAAAGTCCTTTCTGAGCTTCGCGAAAATATTCGTCCGCGCATGGATTCTTTCAACCGAGCATCTCGGCAGGAATCGCCTCGTCAATTACCAGCGAGCTGACGGAGGTGTAGGTACGCTCGTGTCAGGGATCCAGCAAAATCAGGTCCACATGGAAGTCCCGCGGAAGAACCTGAAAGCACTGCGTTCGACACCCCTCGGAACTCGGGTTCGATGCGACGATGATCATCGCAGCGGTTCTTCTTACTGATGTACTAAGCAAGAGCCTGTGTGAGCACCGCTCGACTCCTCATCGAAGCCTTCGAGGCAGTAGATCTAGCCTCTACCCCGTTTGCGTAGAGATCTCTCCACATTCTTGGAGTCACCCGAGTGGCTGAGGGGAGACATAGGATTTCGAATCGATCCGAGTAATTCGGTATTTCGGAAAGCTTCAATCAGTGTCCACCCGAACTTCGGTCGAAATGATCTGAAGAAAAATGAAGAGTTCATGTCTCTAAGAATGGACTCGGAGGAGTGCCAGCAGAATTCAAAAGACAGCAAGTTGAATTCAAAATGATCTTTTATATTATTATGATCATAATAATATAATTATTATTATCATTAATATTACTGTCAATATCCAGGTCAGATTTCTTTTTCAAACCCGGTCGATATAAATTACATTGATTTGGAGATTAATATTTTTATGTACATCGTATATACAGCTTGGATAGTAATACTGCAGTGGCCGTCACGCTGAAGCTCCCTCTAGTTTTCAACCATACATCCGTTTTAGTCGCCCGCCTCCCTGTTGGTGACCTGGATCAGTCCTCCAATCACATTCCGGCGGGAGCGAGCGAGAACGCAGCAAGTTTGATTCCGCCCCCATATTCCGCACGCCGATCATGAATTCGTTGACTGACCATCTCCGAATGAAACATCCGCTCACTCCAGCTAGTATTTGAGGGGGATACACCTCCGTCCGTCTAGTTTGCGGCGTCTACCACGTCAAGACGCGAGACTTACGAAGAATACCTACATACACAGCTCAGACAGATCGACTCAGATGACGGCCGTCGACTCTAGACCTGCAGTTGTTTTTGTCGTTTCTTAAATACATGTGTTGGGCTCAGTAGAAAAATAAATAACCTTTACCTCCCGTATGTACAATGTAGGCGGAAATACATACATATGTATTCAAGGTAGAAAAGAGTTGAGAGAACTCTGTACACCAAGCTCGCATTCTGAGACGCTTTCCCTTCTGTTCTCTAGCTATCTTGATGAGGAGGTCGATGAGTCGGAGATCGATCATCTGACCGACGATCGATCAAACATCGGGTAATGGGTGAATCTCTTGGCGACATCAGTCGCTGCTTATGACTTGTACGTCTGGGATTCGAATTTCATTGAAGATCCTAATCTACCTAATCTGGATGATGAGGCTCTCTTCCTCTCACTCATTCAGTGCTTATGAGGGTACTGCTGCAGGAAGCACGCGAGAGGTGACGGGATATTAAGCTTCTTGGTCGCCGTCTGATTGTTCAGAGAAATCCGGCAAAGGTGTTGCAGTGAATTCACTTGCTTGTAACGAGGTTTGCCGATTTTTATGGGGAGATCCCGGCGACCGGATCCGTCCAGCCAAACGCAGCACTTGCCTCTCTCCGACTCGGACAAGCTAATATAGTATTCGACGAGTTCTACGACGCACGAAAACGTTGGCATCTCGACCGCGACGTGGTGTTCACAATCTAGCCGGAACACACCGTGCTTATAGTGTATCCGCACCGAAGTCGGTCCGCGTTCGGTTTGGACGCTCAACGCGAACAGGAACCGGTTGTCTCTCGAATTTCTGACGATGAATTTCCCAACCTCAGACGACTTCAGGAGAATCTCAGCGTCCTGCCAGGAGAGGTTCTCGTAGTAGTAGCCGGCGAGCCGCAGGACGCGGATCGTGTTGGCCACCTTCTTGTAGTCGTGGTCTTCATTGAGGTAGGGAGGCGCGGGAAACACCATCGACATCACCAATGGCCTCTTGCGGGACCGCGTGGAGGCTTCGCCGCATTCACGCTCACGGTTAGCCAGGAATACGGTCAAGGCCGTGGTCGGCGTGGCCTGGGGCAATGGGCAGCATGGTCCTTGCGGTAATTGCTGGCTCACCGCCTTATGGGAGGGCGGTTTGTTGTACGGCAGAAGCGGGACGTGCGGGAAGGAACCGCAATGGCCAACGCGCGAAGGATACGAAGGATAAGGAGTCACCATAGACATGTTCGAGCTGTTGGCGATCGCGTTGCAAACGACAATTGACTAGTGGGCAGAATTTCCTGTAAAGAGAAAGAAGGACGCGAGTTAGTTTCTAGTCGACGAATCATCGATGACAATCCCAGCCAGACTTCCTATAAGCTGAACCGACTTCCTATCTGCTTCTTGATTCATATGGATTGCCTCCCCCAAGAACGACTTGAATCATTTCGATTTTAGGATTAAGCCCCAGATCTTAGGAATCGCTAACGAGCTCGTATGATCGGGAAGTCAGAAAGCTCGAAAGACACTCGCGCGCTTCCCGCTCTCGCATAGGCCACAAGAGGCAAACTGACGAGTGTTTCTCTTGCCCTTGTAGCGCCATCGCTACGCCATCGACAGTAGTTCGGGGAATTGACAGAACGCCATTTCTCACTAATACGCCAGCTCGCCAAAGCGTGGAACTGACCGAGCCTATCATCTTCCACGCGGATGCAAACTGTCGCTCACTGCCGCGGCTACCATCAAAGTCGCCGCCGTCATTATTCGATGCAAGAGCTCAGCGCGTGCTTTCCGACTTAATGTACACAGAGAGGATGTACAGACCCACTACCGTACAGAGTGGAAGGTTAGGAATGCTGGGAGAGACTTTTCGGAGAACGCCAGAATGATTGTTTGCTGGCTGTTCAGTCGGCGGGCTAGCCATCCGGCCCGTTCGCTCAGAGTGGCTGCAGCCTGAGCGCCAGAACTCGATGCTCAATGCGATACCAAGCCATAAGAGGCGTTCGCACCCCGGTCTCTCGCTCATCTAACGAGAATTGACGTATGCTACCTAATTTCGAAGTGCTTCTCAAAACTGTCCATGAGCAACTGCTCGCTGATCCCGGAATTGTTTTCCTCGCTTCGGCGTCGCGATCAAGTATCCGTTTCACGTGACAGTTCCGTCAGACTTTCCGCTCACTTCATCGATTGATTCACGCTTCTCGCCTCCAATAATTATGACAGTGGTTCGAGAGATTCGACTTCTGTGGCGTTCGACGGACCAGTTGTGGTTTTTGTACCGGCCTTTCGAACATGTTGTAGTCTCGTTTTCATCGTTTTTGTTGTGGCTTGGAGAATTTCAGGAGCCCACACTTGTCATCCCATAGTCGCGCGGACAGAGCGAAACCGGACTGACTGACTGGCGAGCGAGTGTCAAATCGACGGAAGCCGATGCGGGAGAGCCGAAATTTTACGAATCGAACGATTTTCCGGAAATCGCTGCGTAAGCTCCAGGATGAAATCGGCCGCCCTCATGAAAGTCGCCGCCGTGATTCTCGCTTCGCGATTGCGCTTCAAAAGGCTTCGTATCGTCGCGCAGTCAAACGGCAAGACAGAGACTTACGGGCAGAGGGAATTTTTTTCGTTCTTGGGACGTGAAATTGCTAAATGAGCTCGATGCTAGGACGGTCGCCGAACAAGCTCACTAGGAGCATATGTGAACATATTCTCAAGAGTTTGTAGCCGTCGTCCAAGAGCGGCCGGCCGGCCAGCCAGCCAGCGACCGTAAGAACCGCCGATCGCTACCGAGAATTCTTAGGGCAGCTTTCTGTGAACGGCGGGCATGCATAGCGCTTGAGTTCGTTCCTTCTACTAAGTTGTTCTTCTTCGTCGTCGTCGTCGTCGTCATAGCCGTCGCCATCGACTTCTGCTGCTCCTCGAAAGCAGGTAGACGATGTCGAGAAGAAAAGTACTGGGAACGGCAGAAGCGCCCGCCGAAGAAGAAGTACAACTTGTATGCAGACAGAGACCCAACATGGACGGATACCTTCAGTAGAACGGGGAGAGCGGCTGCTGCTGCCGCTCGTCCGCCCGCCCGCCTGCCGGCTCTTCAGAGAACTGACGAAGCTCGACTGGATCTCAGTGGCGCCACGGGGACTCTGATAGATAACTACCGAACCGGAAATATTCCTCTTAGCTCCTATCGAGTCCACGTAACACGCGTGGAAGGCGACTCATCCTCTCGCTTGAAGACGGAATCGCCGAATCACTTCAGTTCGAAGTTCCTCGGACAGGAAGCGAGGAGCTCAACTTCGGAGCGAACTTCTTTGTAAGCCTGAGTCAGTCGGTCCAACTCCCTTCGGACTCGTGTTGGCTAGACCCCAGAACTTCGCTATCTGTTTTCCGGATCTTCGTCTCGATTTCGCGGGAATAATATCGCTGATCCAGTGATGTTAGATCAGTTCGAGAAGGGTCTTCGGAAATTTTCGTGGGAACGCAGTGATCCGATCGTGCGAATACCGAGTGACGCTATCTGTGCGAAGTACATCCGCACACTGGTCCATGTCCGTATCGCCGCCCATAATACGATGGACTCCCATGCTCTCCACGACCTCTGGTCTAACGAGTTCTCGTAGAGTTGTTTTCAGGACGATCAAGGTCCCGCCCCGTCGACAAACATTTGCTGTCTTCCGTGGAATCAAAGGGACGGAATGACAGCTTGTCGATGAGCAATCGGTACCGTTTAAATGGTGTTCGGCCGTCGCGGCGCGCTATCCGTACTCTCCGAACTCCAAAGCGAAGCGAGAGATGATCGAATTCGCTCATACTTGCCCTCGTGGTTCTGAGGAAACACCTCGAGAGAAAGTAAATCGATGTTGCTGATGACTGCATTCAATTTCTGGGTTGATCTGACTTGCGTTAGCTCTCCGTATCGAGAGGGGGAGCCTCGGGTTTTTTAACCGTGCCTCCGATCGTAGATTCCTCGATCCGCGACGAGACGACCCGGGTGAGCTTTCTGTGTATGTACTCTCGGGTAGCAGCTGAACTCTCCCGAAATCGCGCGCAGTTCTTCCAACCCTGATGCTTCCACGCAAATTCGCCGCACGGTGCACATTTCGAAAGAATCGTGCGAATCTGACGATCTGTAGCCCTACTGAGAAGCTGATCCATCTCGCCTACATCACGTTAGACTGGCTCTCGATTCTCGGAGCGACAACTCGTGACCGACCGCGGTACGTTTCCTAAGGGAAACAAAAGCACTGCCTCTTGAACTCTACAGTTCCAAACCCGTCAAAACGCCGATATTTTTCAACGAATCGTTGACAAAAGCTTCCTCGTCGCCGTCGGCCAGCCCGAAAGAGGTCGCGATTTTCCCGGAAAAGAGCGATCCGTTATTGAGCTCATCGACCCATCAAGGCGGATATGTTTGAATTTCCTGAATACTCAACGACACGAATGAAACGGACTATCACTCGTTTCACGGTGTCAACTGTCATAACTCCACGGTGAGAGATCTACGGCGAGCCGGAAACGCGCGCCTTGACTGGCGGCGAGCACGTTCGAATTCACGGAGTCGACTTCCCAACGAGATCCATACGAAAGTCCTGAGACTTTTTCACAGAACCACCGTTTTCACACGGAGCTTTTCCCTGCATTGCAAAACTTCGACCGACGATGTGGGCAAGGATTCAGAATATAAGAGAACATACCGGTGACAGACGTCTGGCCGTATTCCATAGAGGCACTTAAACTCCACTCGATGCACAGTAATCCACGGGAGATTGGGGATAAGACACTCGTTGCAACTGACTGCGAATGGAGTCGCTTGATTGCAGAGAGCGAGCCGATCGCGTTGACAAGTGCTGTTCGTTCTGTTCGCAACCTCGCTCGTTCAAGAAGTTTTCGAGACGAGCGACACACGGTCTCTCCCAGTTGTGACTCGATTCTGCCTCCGAAGAGCGAATCTCGCCGACTTAAGGGCCAGAACAGAGGGCGCTGCGAGCGCCGCTCCGACGTCACCAGAGAGGGTATCCCACACGTGAGCAACATCGTTCTCGGGACGAGGAACAAGAATTATCTCTATTGTGACGAATCGGGTTCTTAGGTAACAAGAAACAGCCTGGGAGCTCGAGAGAGAGCGCGTTTCCAATCGATGCCGAAATGCGGCAATCTTTGGCTGCGTGTATCATCTCCGATCCGCAAGCACCTTCAAGGGCTCATTCGGCTGTAACTTTGACGATTCTCACGATATTGAACTTGTTCCCGCCTGGGCACCGATACCCGATAGCAATGAATTTCCGTAGATCTCTCCGGAACACCAGAAGGCAAATCTCTCTCACGACGTACTGATCTCCGAGCTACTGGTACCGTGGTTCTTGGGCCGATTTGTGCGAACAGAAGCGATCCGACGGACCCTCTCACGGGTTTTCCCGTCTGGAGAGGTGGAAGAGCACTTCCTCCGACGCGCAACAAGAAAAAATTCATTGTCGCTAAGGGTAAATCGTAATCGTGCCCCATACCGTGGACGGGCTCTGTCATTGATTCCGCCGAGAGATCCTGTACGATTCAACGTCTAGCAGAGTCTCATCGTATTGTTTTGCTTCCGAGAACATTGCGCATTTACGACGTGCCGGGGACCCACGGCGGGTATAATCACGCAGGAGGAAGGAGTTGATTTGCTTCCATGAACAGGTGCAAGCGCTCCAAGAGCATTCACGAAAACCCTCGAATCGGCTCGTCATGAGGAAGCTTTCCTGAATGACGTCTGGTTTTTCTCCCCGTAGCCCTCTGTCACTCCCCTCTCTTGGGGAACGTCACAACCACAAATTGACGCGTCGAAGATTGCTCAGCATACCATGCGGTTATGCTTTTAGACGTTAATCCTGCGATCGGTGAACCGCGCAGCATCGCCACACGGGTCGGTAAAGGCTCTCGAGCACAGACCATTGAATAATCAGACACGTAATTTCTGTCACCGACCGCTGCTCGGAGCATTCCCGTCTTCCAATTGCCAATCAGCATTGCAGCGTTCTCAAATTTTCAGTTGGTTCGATGCTGCTTGCCATGATGGGGGCATTAGTCGAGCGAAGTTGGACTCTCAGACTTCAAAGATGCAGACACGCAAACTACCGCGGTCGCGGCTTCCTTTGAGCTTCCGAAGTCTGTGGCCTAGCAGCGATGTGCTCAAAGAACGCGGCCACTCTCTTAGCGGAAGGAACGAATAGGCTTTCGAAGAACAGCGAGAATCAATGCCGCACTTCAGAGCCCGAATACTTCTGCGTAGACTACTCCGTGACAGGACGTTATTAGCATCACGTATTTCCGGAGCTCCGAGACAGCGATGGAGGGTATCGAGAAGACGATGAGGAGCAGGGGGCGGTCGACTTTGTTTGCTCCCATGTCGAGCATATGAGCGATGATCTGGAGGAACTCCGGGGAGGACCTTCCAAATGAATATTCCCGGAGCGTGCCATCCGAAATCTTTTGATCGAATGGAACGTAAAGGAATCAAGTCGGATCTGACTCCCCCCTCGCGTTCGTACCGCCATTCAAGGAGGAATGGAAAACTCCTCGTTCATAAGAAAACCCCCAGTCATTCCAGCTCCCGAAATCGATTTTCTTTCTTTCTGTTATTCTATCATAGTTCCTTGATCCCTTTGCTGCTGCTGGCGTCCTCACTGTATTACTCGGAACTTGGAGCATCTGCCACAACATACGTTGGGATGGGAACTGCCAAGAGTACCGGGAACGCTCGGAGGCCCCGGAACCAGCTGCCGCTCTTCAAATACGTAGTCCTACGTTGCGGAAAAAAGGACGCTCGGCCGAGCCGTCCATGTGAAATGACTTGAGTCATACGCGTCTCCCACTGTAATCGACTCTAAATACTACGGCTCGGATACGACGTTCATAGAAAAAATCAAAACGGTGAAAATGCCGAATTGATCCGTTTCGGCGCTTCGACGCTGTACCATTCATTAAGGGTCCGCGATGTCGGTCCCATTCCGTGACTCGGAGCCTGACGTATGCGACGACGGAAAAAATTACATGACAGATACGTCGAATGAATATACGCTAAACCATCATTGCAGTCATCTGAGGCGACGTCCGGTATCATCCATTGCTGCAGACTTCGCTACGCGCTACGAATCATATACCAAGTGCCGTTTCGTTCGACGAGGAGCTAAACTCCCCATTCAGGAACAAGCAGAAGCGATACAGGTCAACTCGTATCGCAGATCCGGCTCACGAAAGTCGTGCCGCACGGTGCAGGAATCAAAGCACGACGCGACCGACCGGACCTACTCGAGGAAAGTTTGTGCTCTCCACCGTCGAAAGCAACGATGGCAAACCCAATCTGCCATCTCCGACTTTCGCTTCCAAGACCGACTTAGGATCAAATGAAAATCTCCATCAAATGAAAATCTCCATCGTTCAATCATTTTCGAAAGCCGGCGTGGCGGCTACTCGACCGCTAAGCCAGAGGCGTTTCAGAAGGAGCGTTCGATTGGCCAGATGAGCTCGACTGTTCCGAATGCGGAGCATTTAAACATTATACCGTCCTACCTTCTATTTTGTAATGAGCTCCAACTGATCAGCTTGGGGCCTCGATCGGAGCATTCGGCCGACTCTACTAACGGGGCCTAGTATAGCTCGCTTGACCTGGATTCTGTGTGCCGATAGTGGTTCGCGGATGGAGCGCACTTATTGGCTAGGTAGAAAGGCCGTCCAGCGAGCCACTCAGCCAGCTTGCCTGCCTGGCAGCCAGTCAGTCAGTCGAGCAGCCGTTCAGCGCTACTTCCCAGAAGGGGGCACCTCGTCCAGGGGCGATAGATAAAGCCAGACCGGAGGCTATACACACCTACGGCATACGTAACACAGCGTCATAACGTGCAGCCGTACTAGCTGTACTTATTTAAGGAAACAGCCCGTACCGGAGGCTCCGAAACGTTCTCTTCCTGCCGATGACACCCACAGATATTTTCGCAGCTGCTCCAGGGACGGACGTCTCAGCTGAAAATCATCGAGAGCGGTTCTCCGAAATTTCAACTGTGCTTTTGTAGTACGATTTTCATCCCGTCGCCGATGCGCCGATCGAATCGATCGGCGATGATGGCGAGAAACGAAAGTCAATTAGAGATAGCCTTCGGTCGAACAACGCGTCCATTCATTGATCGAAACGAACGGCGAGTCATTGAACTTGGGATGGCGGCTCGAACCGTCGTGAGGCCTCGAAGTTCAGACCCAGTTACTCAGGACGATTGGACAATCAGCGAGAGAGCTCCAAGCCGCCCCCGTCATTGAATGGGATCGTGAACCACAGAGCGCTTCACGACTTTCTCACACCGAGTCAAAAAAACAATTTGCTGTACCAGACAAACGATCGATTCGGCAGCGGCGGCGATCTTCGCAGAAAACTCAGCCCGTGACTATTCATCCGATCCCATCCCCGCCTCGATGCGGAAACGCAACCCTGAGGACGCTTCGAGCGGCGTCGACTCGAACTCGCAGCTCCGGACCCCATCCCGCATCGGAATTTACGACGGAATCCTTTCCGGAGAGAAATCCATCGCTTCTGCGGATTTCTATACCGAATCGTTGGTCGAGTTCTTTCTGAAAACGCCCGGACGCACCTACCGACCTATGGACAAACGGGGAGACGGGCTGCCAGGCTTTCGAACTAACAGTGAGCAGAGGGATTCCGAGGAGAGGCTCTGACTGAGCTTCTTCGAACATCAATTGGCGGCGGCCAGGGGACCCGGAGGAGATCTCGGAATCAAAACAAACTAAATTGTGTTATACGTTGTTTCACACTCAAAGAGAGTTTGTGCTCACGCGGAGACAAGGAACACACATTCGATTGCCCGCGCACCGATTCTCTATGTTAGCTCGTTCGATCGTTTGTTCCGAATGCCTCCCTGGCGGTCTCGTCAGTCTTTCGCCGACGCCGCCGCCAACGAATGCATACAACTGAAGTCACATCCGAGGACATGTCTTGGAAACGGGAATTCGACAAATCGTCATGTTCGAATTTCCGCTAGGTGCGCTCCGAGCACGGGTGGCCCGCATGGTGCCCTGCCCGCCTTATTGGAGGAGCGAGGCTTTGCCTTCGACCGAACAGCGAACATCTCAAGCCGTTCGTTCGCTCCGAGAATTCGTCGTTGCGAAAACCCGGCGGAGCTTCCAAAAAATCCCATTGGCTGCCCATCTGAGAAAACATCTGTATGCAAATGGGAATGATCAACACCCCCGAGCTCGGGCTTCCAGGCCGACAAGGACGAACACCGAGAAGTCACACGAAAACCTATTGACGAGCTTTCCCGGGATCAGCCCTGTTTCCCAGAGCGCGCTTCTTGGTATGCCTTGACAATCATGGCTCTCAGATCGCAGCACGACAACGGCTCCCGAGGCGGCTGTCGACTTGTTTTGGCTAGATAGCTAGCTCAGCCGGATTCTTCCTCACGTAGGTGGTGGAGATATGGTCGTTGTGATGCCTAAGTAAATTATTTGTTTCTGAGTGCCTTAGTGACTCGGAAACGAGTGTTTCCTAGTTAGCAGGCGGCAGTCAACTCTCGGTCGGCCGGCCGGTCGGTCGTTCCACGCCATCGTTGCTACGGGGGGCGCCCAACGACAAGCTTGTAAGCAATCAATCGAAAAACAACTCCTGTTCCATCGACGACTTCCAAGCAGGGTCCAGAAGCTTCGTGCTGTAAAAATGTCAACGCCACACCAATCTTCCGGCTGCAGACTTTATTTGAGGATGTTGACAAATGCTCCATCTCATCTCGACTGGGATCTCCGGATAGGGGAAAAGAAACAGCGCGTCAGCGAATCAGAGGTGCTGATATGTGGCGCTCTTTCTCGCCTGGAAGATGTCTGGCTTTCTTTGGTTCTCGAAATCGGTGGTCGGAATAACTTCCCCTGCGAGGGCTCTGCTCGGAGAATCTC